GGGTGGCCAGGTGAGGGGGTGGATGAGTAGGGGAATGAGAGTCTGGTGACCAGGAGAGGGGATGTGAGGGTGGGGGGTTAGAGGGAGAGAAGGAGGTGAGGGGATGGGCAGAGGGCTCACTGGGCAGGGCTGTGGGCAGGGCCAGGAAGGGGTGGGTGGGGTGGGCAGATGAGTGGATGGGCTGGGGGTGCAGAGGTGCAGGAGGTGGAGAGGATCAGTAGGGGGCTTACCCCAGGAACGGCAGTGGGCAGCCACGGGGCAGTGGAGCCTCACCCATCACCAACCCCGCCAGGCGGGCGGACTCACCTCTTCTTCAGCAGCCCACTGAAGTCCAGCTCACCCGCTTCGTCCGATTTCCCTTCACCTCTGTGGCCATGGAGAGGGGCTGTGGGCCCACTGAGGTCCTGTTCCCCGGACTCACCCCAGACCCACTCCTCGCCCCTCCGAGCCTCCCTTCTGCCACCTCCCCTCTTTCCAAGGGAGAGATTCCCATGGTCCAGACACCAGGAGACCCCTCTGCCCAGGGCCTGGGGTCACTTACGTGCGCTTGAAGCTTTCTAGACTCTGCCCCGAGGCATCCTGACGTGGAGCTGGGGAGAGGAGAGGCGGGCAGGCCAGGTGAGCTGGCGGCAAGGCCTGATCGGAGACCCAGAGCCCGGCTCCAGGCCCTCCCCTCCATCTCTGGGACCAGCGCACTCTTGTGCGGGCCAAACCAGCTCCAGCTCAGTCCCCGGCTGCCACGCACCACCCTCTCTCACACCTGGACCCCAAGCCTGGCCCAGCACGCCTTCTTCCCAGGCCTGGGCCATCTCGCTCCCTAGACCCTCCATACTGAAGCCCCCAGAGCCCATACACCCACAGGGCTTCATATGCGTGCCCCCAAATCTGTACAGCCTCCTGTGAACCCTGTCCACCCGCACTCCAGCCGAACACTCATTCTCTAAACCTGCACCCCCTGCACCCCTCGCTCCCCGAGCTCTTACTTTCTCAAACCTGAAATCTATACGATTTAACCTCTTGAGGCTTCGCATGCACACCCCAAGGCCCTGAACCCCAAATCTACACCTCTTCCTGCTCTCCTCTTTAGATGGCCTCCCTGCTGTGAACTCTCTGGTCCCTGAACCTGGACTCCTCCTCTAAAAGCCTGCACCCCGGTAATCCCCGCGGTCCCCCAGGACCACCTTCCCAATGTGCAGCTCCACCGTGTACACCTGGGCCAGACAGGGGTGGGTGCCCACCACTCTGTCCCAGAGCCACCCACGGCCCCCAGCCCCCACTCCGGGAGGGGCCAACAGAGGCCAGTTCGGCGGCCCCCGAGGCCCGGACAATCTCAACTCCCGGGACCGTGTCGCCGACTCCCTAAGACCTTCCTGGAGATGCACTTGTGGCCGGAAGGCAGCCTGGCGCCACCAGAGCATCCTCCCCTGGTGCCAGGCACAACCCCCAGTGCTCCCCGAAGCAGTGGCCCTCTGAGCGCAGGGCCTGCGCTGCCCAGCCCCGCGCCCTCTCCCGCAGGGCCTCACATTGCTGGCGGCGTCGTGGGCCTCCTTGAAGGAGAAGCGCGCCCCGCTCTTGCTGCCCAGCTCCTGCCACTTGCCCTTGAACCACTTGATGGTGGGTTTGCCTTGGAGCTCCTTCCCGTTCACCTTGGCCTGGACCACGGCGTCCTTCCCTGGGGCGGGCAGGGACGGTCAGGAGCCCTAAGCCTCGCCAGAGGACTGAGCAAGGCCCTGCGGGCCGGCCCCCAGCCCTTCCTCTCCCGGTCCCCTCACCGGTCTCCACTGATACAGAGTCCGGCTTCTTCAGGAAAACGCCGGTGGGCTCCTCAGCGGTGGGTGACTGGTCCTCAGGATGGGCCTCTGCTGCGACGAGATGAGGTCTGAGAAGGCTGGGGAGGCCACTTGGGGAGGGGGTCAGACCCGAGGCCCTGGGACAGTGGTTTTCCTGACCCAGGCGGCCATGCAACCTTGGCTAGGCCTCCGCCCTCTAGGACTCAGTCTCCACCCGTGTGGACTGTGGGGCTGGTCCTGAACGGGCGTGTGCACGTGCGTGTGTGTGTGCACGTGTGTTCGCGTGCCCCAAAAGCCCAAGAGGAGAATAGAAGAGACTGCACGGAGAAGGGGCCTCGCCCAGGGATCTCTTTCGCCCTCTCTCTGTCCGACAAGCACATGCCCCCTACTGTACTAAAATACGTGGCCCTCGGAGCGGGCAGGCCGTGGTGACCCCCTGGCCAGCTGAGGGAGCCTGAGGTCAGGTGGGGTTGGGGCTCTGTCCCGGGGCACTGGGAAGCCACTGAGGAGGGTGAGCAGGGGAGGCGGTCCTCCCTGGGCTGCAGAGACAGGCCGAGTGCAGGGACCTCAGGGAAGGCTGGGGCATGGCGCGGAGGGAGGCCAGACCTGCGAAGCCCGGGGTCAGCATCTCACCTTTGGGGGGCTCTGCAGGAGCCTCCTTAGGGGCTTCTTTGGGGGCATCTTTGGGGGCTTCTTTGCCTTTGGGGGCCTTTTTGGCTGCTGTGAAGTCGACGTTGACAGTTGAGCACATGCTCCTCTTCCAGTGCGAGGGGTGAGGCCTTGGCCCTCCTCCCTGAGCCCCGGGAGTCCAGGCCCTCCTCCCTGAACCCCCAGAGTCCAGGTCTGCCCCCAGACCCAGGAGTCCAGCCCCCCCAAACCCTGGAGTCCACGCTTCCTCCCCATACCTCCCTGAGACCCCAGGAGTCCAGCCCCCCTCAGACCTGGCAGCCCCTCCTCCCTCAGACTCAGCTCGCCCACATCCTAGGTGTAAATTTATCTCTAATCCTGAGAGTCTGGGATCAGGTTTCCCTTACCCAAGGGTGGGAGGACCATGCCCCATCCACCCAGGCCACAGGCCCTGACCTTTTGGGTCCTGGGGGTATAATTAGCTCCTTCTCTGGCTGGAAACCGGACACCTCATGCTGACCACAGCATCCCTCACCTGCCCTGCCTGCTAGTCCTGGGCCGCTGTGGTCCAGGCTACAGCAAGCCGTGGGACCTCCACCCCACGGCCAATCGGTCTGATGCCAGCAGACCAGACACCCCAGGAGGGGGACCCCTCAAGGGCTGTGTCTCCTATGTTGACTTCCTCATAGAAAGTCCTCATAGAAAGACCAGCAGAAAGCCATTACGCTATGTCGCTGGACTCCCATATAGTCGACCGCGGTTCGAGTCCTGGACCCAGTGGCTTAAACTCACGCAGGGCACGTGTGCGTGCGTGCCTAAGATCCCAGAGGAGAATGGAGGAGAAGGGATTGTGGCGTGGCTATCCCCCCTGGGGGGTGATTTCTCACTTTCTGTCTCTCTCTGTCTTTCTGGCAAGCGCACAGGCCCTGTAGCAAAAACCTCTCAAAAAAAAAAAAAAAAGTCTCATCCCCAAATAAAGAGAGGTCCCCAAATTCCATACAAAGAACCCCAGTCCTATTTGAAGGCCCCTAATTCCCACACAGGGAAGTCCCAGTTCTCATAGAAAGGAGATCCCCTCCCCCAATCCTTACGCAGAGTCCCATGCAGACAGGAGCTCCCGATCTCTGAACACACGGTCACCCACAGCCTACGGAGTAGCCCCACCCTTCACTCAGAGAAGTGGCCCAGTCCCTACCCAGAGGGCGACATCCCCAAATGTAGATCCAATGTCCAAAGGCTCCCCCACCTATACACGCGAAACCCCCATCCCCAATGAGAAAGAAACTTCAATTTACAAACAGAAAATCCCCACTCCACCAGATTCCTCCCAAGTCCCATATAGAAAAATTAATCCTCTCACCATTGAGGGGAGAGGATCGCCCCCACCTACACCCCATCTCCCACAAGGAAGGGACCCCCCTCCTGCCCATGCAGAGAAGGCTCCCTTGCCCCACACAGATATGGGACCCCATTCCCCACAGGGAAGCTCCTCTTCATACAGATAAGTCACCCCATTCTCCCAACCCTGCAAAGATAGGAGCCCCAAATCCCCATTCAGAAAGGGGCACCCCCACCCCTGCACAGGGTGGGGGTCCTGGCAGCCACCTGGTTTTGCCTCAGGCATGTCGGCGCACCTCCTCCCGCTCGGCTGACCGCAGCTGTGTCCGCAGCGAGGGAGGACAGGTGGGTCCCCAGGGGGAGCCCTTTAAGGAGCCCAGAAACTCCCAGGAGGCTCTGAGGCAGCGGACGGGCCGCCCCGCATTCCGCCCGCGTGTTCTAAAGGGCGAGAAATAACAGCTAGACAGAGACGGAATGCCAGGTCCCGGGGGAGCAGAGGCTGGGGGCTCGAACACCTGGGCCGGAGGAGGACTCGGGGAGGAGGGCGGGGGCGGGGGCGGCCGCCTCGACCTGGGGCCGTGTGCTCGGTCCCGGAGGGAGGCTGAGGGCCTGGGCGCTGGGTCCTGGGAGGAGGGGGAAGGGCTGCGTGCTGGACCTGGCGTGGGGTGCGGGGCGAGGCAGGGTCTAGAAAGCCATTCTTAGTATCTGCAAGTCAGGAGTTTTCGGGAAACCAGAGCCCGGAGGGAGGGTCCGGTTTCCCAGCGGCGGCAGGACGGCTGCCGGGGGAGGAGGTCTCTGTGGCCCCGGGGACGGCGCCTGGGCCCTGGGACTCTGGGGAAGGGCTGCGTGCTGGACCTGGCGTGGGGTGCGGGGCGAGGCAGGGTCTAGAAAGCCATTCTTAGTATCTGCAAGTCAGGAGTTTTCGGGAAACCAGAGCCCGGAGGGAGGGTCCGGTTTCCCAGCGGCGGCAGGACGGCTGCCGGGGGAGGAGGTCTCTGTGGCCCCGGGGACGGCGCCTGGGCCCTGGGACTCTGGAGTCCCGCCTCCCAGGCGTGGGCAGACCCGAAGGCCCGGGACCCGGGCCACCTGGGGCCCCGGCCTGGCCGGTTGCCTGTCCTGGGACCCCGTGACTGTTCCCGGAGCGGGGCGGCCGGCACCCGACGCGGGGGAGGGGGCGGCTGGAGGCCGGGAAGGCCCTGGAGGGCTGCCCGGGTGTTGGCGCCCTTCCCGGCAGGGGGACCTGTGGCTTTCTGAATGGGAACGGTGGCTGGACGCCGGGTGGGGGAGATGGAGACCAGGAGCAGGAACCTGGGGAAGGGACGGGACTTGGGGGCAAGTGGTGCGGGGTGGAAGGGCGAGGTGGGTGTGAGAGGGGGTGGAAGGGTATGAAAGATGTGGGGGGACCTCCCGGGAAGTAACGCAGAGCGAGGTCAAACTAGTTACCCGCTTTATCTCCCCCTTCCTCTTTCCAAAATTCCCTTTGAGCCGGAAACTTCCCCGCCCCTATGAGGCATTAAGCCAACCCGGAAGCAGCCTCTGCGTGACGTCATTGGTTGCCCGGCAAACTGCCATGCTGCTCCCTGGAGCCCGGCTAAATTGTCGAGGGGCCCCCTGCCTGGAGCCTGGCCCCTGTGGCAACCTGAGGGCTCGATCCAGACCGAGAAGGACAAAGACCCAGAGGGAGGGGACATTGAAATCCAGAAAGGGGGCTAGAGGCACAGACAGAAGTGGAAGCGGAAAGGTGGGGAAGAATTTTTACTTATTTATTTATTATCATTATTTTTAAATTTCACCAGAGACAGAGAGGGAAAGTGAGAAAAAGCAAGCCACCAGGTCCGGGACTAGAACCGTGGTCTGCCATGTGAGAGTCTAGTGCCTTAACCACCACACCACCAGCGTCCCAAGGGAAGAATTCTAACTGGCGGGAAAAGAGGGAGACGCAAAGATTAAATGAACTCCCAGAGCCTGAATCTCAAGCCCCTGGTTTCTGGCGCTCAGGGCAGTCAGCGGCAGCCAGTGGAGGGCAGGGTCACAGTCCCTGACAAAGGGCCATGGGAGGTGTGCCTACTTTGACTTTGTTTTATTTCATAAAATAAAATAAAGTGTTTGCAAAAAGTACCTTTGTTGGGGATGGCCCTGGGGAGGGCATTTGCCAGCCCCTCCCTTCTTGCCCTCCCGTTTCCTTCACTGTCACAGGTGGCTGGTGGCCCTGTGCACCTTGCCTCTCCGGTCCTCCACGCTCCTTCCTCTAGGCCACCGGAGCGGCGGGGTGGATTCAAATGTGCCAAAGGCTCAACAGGGCTGAAATCCTCCTCCTCTCCCTTTCCTGGAAGGGACCTGGTCCTCTGACTCCCCCAAGGGCCCCAGTCAGAGACCTGCAGCTCCAGCTGGGTATGCCCGGGATGGAAACCGCAGAGGGCTGGGGCTACACCAGCGGCTGAGAGAAGCCCCCCCACCCCGGGAGGGGGACAGGAGTGACAGGGGCTGGACCCACTAGAGGACAAATGCCCTATGGTGGGGGGCCCTGTCCGGCTCTAGCCCTTCCACACTGAAAGCCAGCATCTGGATCACATAAAAATCTTACTGCGATAGGTCTGTTACCTCAGACCGCCTCCCCCAGCGCTACAATGAAATAAAGAAAATGCTGCAAGGGGCGAGATGGGGGCTGCAGCTTGAGGCCTCGGGCTAGAAAATTACACGGGGAGGCTGCCAAGGTCACCAGGAATCCACTGAGTAGCCAGAATGACCCTCCGGTGGCTGGAAGAGGGGACCCGCGGAACGCAGGGCTGCTGCGGAGTGTTGGGAACGATCAGTCCCTGAACCCCCATCCCCACCACCCGGACACACACACAGACAGCAGAGTGGTTCCAGAGAACTCAGAGACTACAGAGAGGACAAAGGGATCTGAGGGGACAGATGTGAGAGTCGTCGATGGCTGGAGAGCTGAGACCATAAAGAGGCTCCAGTCCCAGAGGGACCTCCAATCCGGCCCACGCAGGGCTCAGGGCTGCGAACAGTGCCCCCTTCCTGTGTGATAACCCGGGGCTCCCCCAAGGTGAGATGGAGGGTTTCCAGGCACGCGGGGCTCTCAGAGAGGTGCCAGGCCTGGTGGGAGGTCCCAGAGTAAGTCCTGGAGTTCTGGAAGCACTGCCCCTCCGCACAGTGACGTAAGGCCCTGTGTACTGCACACGATGAAGGCTCCCAGAGGGACCCGACAGGAGGGCCCCGAGCAGGGCTTCGCCGCCGGCAGCCCCGCCCCATCCCCAGTGCAGGGGTCCAGCGCTACAGCCTGGGGTGCGGGGACGCCGGCACGGCCCGGACGCCCCGAGAGGTCTCTGCTGGGCCCTGAGGTCCTCCGGAAGCCCCGGGGCTCCGCGGGCAGGCAGGGCGCCGCGCTCCCGCCAGGGCGCGGTTTTTTGGGGCGGCTCAGGCCCGGCGGGCGGCGGGCAGCAGCGCGCTGTCGAACTGGTAGGTGAGCTTGCGCTTCACCTTGCGGATCTCGCCGGTCTTGGCGTAGTTGCGCAGGGCGCGCGCCAGCTTCTGGTAGGTCATGCGCTTGCGGTTGCCCTTCTGCTGTCCCCAGCGGCGCGCCAGGAGCTCCTTGTGCTTCGAGGAGAACTGGAAGACGCCGGCGCCCGGCTCCACCCACCACACGCACTCGCGCATGTCGCCGCGGGTCAGCAGCCCCAGCAGGAACTGGTACAGGCGCAGCTTCTTGCGTGCTCCTGCCGTGGGGTCGGGCCAAGGACAGGACCGCCAGGGGCCGTCACAGACCGGGGCCCTCGTCCCCACCCCCACCCCCACTGCTCTGCCCCCGGCTCCCTGGGCAGAGATCTGGGGGCCAGGGTGGCTGCCGGATACACCTGTCGCCCGCCATCCCTGAAGCTGGTAGCCACAGAGCCCGTGCCCCCTCCCTGCTTTCGTGTCTGGGGTTGACATCTGTCCGGTCCTCGCTGCGAGTTTCTGAGCCTGTGACCTGGGCGGACAGCGCCCCCGCAAGGCCAGTACCAGATTGCCCACGCCCATGACGCACCTGCTGGGCTGAACCCGCCGCCCTTCCCAGCTCCTGGTCTCCCCGCTCTCATGCTCATCCCGTCTCGGGTCCTGGAAGGCGCCAAGGCACCTGACTCCCGGGCCCCCAGAACTGTGGGTTTCAAAGCAGGGACTGGATACAAGAACCCCATCTCTGCCGTCTACCAGCTGTGTGACCTTGGGGTGGTGACAGCCTCTCTGAGCCAGAGCCGCCTCAGCCATAGACGAGGCTAGTGTGTGTGTCTCACTGTTACCTGGGCGGAGCGTTAGTGCAGGGCTGGCCGGGCTCGGGACAGTTATGAGCCCGTCCCATCGTCCTCGCTGCCCCATGAGACAGGCATATGACCGTGACGCCTTTTACCTGTGGGACGCTGAGGCCAGGTAGGACAAGGGACTACGAGTCCCAGCCTCCCAGGAGTCAAGCAGAAGCAGCCGGTGACTAGCTGGGGGCGGACGCTGCGACCATGGCGGTTGTGGTGGCGGGGTGTGCTGTGCGCGGGCTCGGTGCCACCCGCTGCGACCCGGCCCCTGGGCTAGCCTGTTTAATCCTGCCTACCACCTCCAGAGGGTGGGCACGGCAAGCCCGCCCCTGTACAGACTGGAAACCCAGGCGCAGAGAGGTGGAGGCTCCTGCCCAAGGTCACACAGCAGCAGGTGGCATAGACCTGGGAGCGGCCCTGGGCGCTGGAGGACATGGTGGGTGCTGGGGCCCCGCTGCGACCCGGCCCCTGGGCTAGCCTGTTTAATCCTGCCTACCACCTCCAGAGGGTGGGCACGGCAAGCCCGCCCCTGTACAGACTGGAAACCCAGGCGCAGAGAGGTGGAGGCTCCTGCCCAAGGTCACACAGCAGCAGGTGGCATAGACCTGGGAGCGGCCCTGGGCGCTGGAGGACATGGTGGGTGCTGGGGCCCCCTACCCCCTCCAGTGGCACCCACGTCCCATCCACTCCCACATACCTGCCTCGGATCCCCTCCCCTCGGGGCCGGTCATGAGGGCCTCGTCTGACTCGCTGTCCGAGACCTCCAGGGCAGGACTGCCCAGCAGCAGCTCCTCCTCAGACAGCACAGGGGTGGGGTACAGGGCGCATGCCGGGGGGCCCAGCACCTGCAGGAGACCAGGGTCACCTGCACATCCAGGCGCCCCTCCTGCGCTCACCTCCTCCCTGCTCTGCTCTCATCTTGTTTACGCGGGACTCGCTCTGATGTCCATGGCGCCAGGGGATGCCTGAGTGGCAGTGAGAGCCTGGCAGACACCATTGGGCCCTGCTGTCCCCGAGTCAGTCTGTGCGGCTGCGGCTCCTTGGTGCCAGAGTTAGAGCGGTACTTCGTGAGCCAGCGGGTAGTATGGTTAAGACGGTTGGTCCCAGGTTCTGGGCAGTTTAAGTCCTGGACCTGGTGGCGTCAAAGACATGCTAGGGGGACCAGCAGTTAGTGTAATGGCTATGTCGCTGGACTCCCATGTAGTCGACTGCGGTTTGAGTCCCGGACCTGGTGGCTTAAACTCACGCTGGGTGCTCGTGCATGCACGCCCAAAATCCCGAGAGGAGAATGGAGGAGAAGGGATTGCGGCGTGGCCATCCCCCCTGGGGGGTGATTTCTCGGTTTCTGTCTTTCTGTCTCTCTCTGTCTTTCTGGCGAGCATGCGCCCTATAACAACAACAACAACAAAAACTCTCCAAAAATAGGAAAAAAAAAAAAAAAAACCATGCCAGGCATGTGCACGTGCGTGCCCCAAACCCCGAGGGGAGGGAGGAGGAGAGGGGACTGCAGGGTGGCCATTCCCCTGGGGTGCTTTCTACCCTTCTCTCTCCCTCTCTCTGGTGAGCACATATGCCTCCAGCAAATTTAAAAAGTAAGAAAGCACGGTACTTAACCTCCGTCGCCGGGCGGCCAGAGAGCAGGCTGCACTGCACAGTCGGCGCTCCCCTCTCTTCGTGGTTTTCTATTTCGGTTTTTAGTTTTGCCACAGAGCATGTGTGCTCCCGAAGAGAGACCGACAGAGAGAGGGAAAGTGGCAAGTCACCCCCAGGCTTCTTCTCCATTCTCCTCTTGGGATTGTGTGTACACACACACCTGCGCCACTGTTTGCTTGTTTAGAGAGAGAATTTTGCTATAGGGTGTGCTCACCGAAGAGACAAGAGACAAAGCAAGAAATGACCCTCGGGGACAGTCATGCTGCAACCCTTGCTCTGCCCTTCCATTCTTTTTTTTTTTTTTTCTTTTTTTCAGAGAGGTTTTTGCTATAGGGCGCGTGCGCTTGCCAGACAGAGACAGAAAGCGAGAAATCACCCCCAGGGGGGATGGTCATGCCACAATTCCTTCTCCTCCATTCTCCTCTTGGGATCTTGGGCACGCACGCACATGCGCCCGGCGTGAGTTTTAAGCCACCACGTCCGGGACACGAACCGCGGTCGACTACGTGGGAGTCCAGCGACATAGCCATTACGCTAACTGCTGGTCCCATGCCCTTCCATTCTTATTCTGGGATTTTAGACATACAATCACATGTACCCAGCATGAGTTTCAAGCCTCCTTGTCTGAGACTCAAACCCTATTCGACCAGGTGCCAGCCCTGCACCCTAACCACCACACCACCTGCACAGGTTTGTTTCACAGTTCTTCCAGGGACCAGCAGATGGCGCAGTGGGTAAGAGGGCTGGACCCCACATGGCTGGCTGTGAGGTCTGAGTCCCAGACCTGGCAACTTGAAAAACACATCAGCTTGGGGGGCCAGCAAGTGGCGTGGTGGTTAGGGGTGCTGGACTCCCACATGGCTAACCACGAGTCGAATCCCAGACCTGGTGCCTTGCTTTCTCTCTCTTTCTCTCATTCTGTGTCGCTCTGCGCAAATTGAAAATAACTGTAATAATAAATAAAATAAAGGAAATAATTTTAATTTAAAAAAAGAAGAAAAACAGGTGGGGCCAGCAGGTAGTGTAGTGGTTAGGCACCGAACTAGACATGGCCGACTGAGGTTTGAATCCCAGACCTGGCAGCTTTAAAACCACTCCAGGTGGGTGTACATGTGTGCCCAGAATCCCAGAAGGAGAGTGGAGAAGGGATTGCTGTGTGCCCTCTCCTCGGGGGGGATGGTTTGTCATTTTCTCTCTCACTGTCTCTGTCTCTCTCCGGCAAGCTCATGCACCTATGGCAAAAACCTAGAACACAAAACAACAAAAAAGAAAAAGGCATCAGGCGCGCGTGTGTGCATGCCCAAAATCCCGAAAGGAGGAGACCTGGGATAGGAGGGATTGCTGCATGACCGTGCCCCACCTGGGGTGCTTTCTCACACCCCCCACGTCTGTCTCTCGCTGAGGAGCATGTGTGCCCTCTGGCAAACTTAAAAAAAAAATCGCAGTGTCAGCCCCCAGCTAGTCACCGCCTGCTTCTGCTCACACGAGTGAGATGGAGTGCAGCCGGCCGGCCCCGACCCCAATCGCCCGGCTCAGCCAGCGCCGCATCAGGAGCTGAGCCGTGTGCACCCAGGGTACTCGGGGAGGGCCTGGAGCCCTCCGTGTGGGTCTGCCTCGCGGGGCATCTGCTGTCCCTGCTCAGGATGGCCCCTGCCCTCACCTGGCTGGCCACGTCCTCTGTGGGGTACGCCGGGAGGCCAGGCCCCAGGGCCTCCATGCTGGGCACTGGCTCAAGGCTTCCTGCAGGGCTGTAGGCCGGGGGTCCATAGCAGAGCTGCACAGCCTGGGGGTGACCACAGGCAGCTGCCGCAGGGTCGAAGGCTTCATAGGGGACGGCTGGACCGGGCGGAGCCTCAGCCCAGCCCCACAGGGAGTCTAGGGGAAGGGCACCGAGTCAGAAGCCAGAGGTCAGACTCAGGGCCCTCCCCCTCCGAGCCCCCAACACAGAGGGCATATTGTGGGCTGTGCAAATCTCTGACCCCAGGATTTGCATGGGGGTGCAGTGGATGGAGAGGGAAGAGAGGAGGCGGGGAGGGCTGGGCTGCCTTTATCCTCCTGTGCTAGGCGGCGACCTCCTTGGGGCCTCAGCTCCCCCATCTGTGAAATGGGCTCAAGGCCCAGGCAGGGAGGGGCTGGGTGGGGCTCACTCACCGGGGGCCCCCTCTGAGTCGGGGTAACTGGAGTGCTTGCAGCTGTCCAGGTCGTAGAAGACACCATCCGGGTACTAACAGGGTGGGGCAGGGCAGAGGGGTCATCTCAGGCTTCAGGGAGTCCTCACCCCCGCCCCCACCCAGGCCCTTGAGGAGACTCCGACACAGACTGGACAGGAGAAGAGAGGCTGGAGAGAGTGAGACAAACAGAGAGACAGAGACAGAGAGAGACAGAGACCGGCATCAGAGATGGGACAACAAAAGAGCAGAGATGTGAAGGTTAGAGACGGACGCGTGAGAGGGACACGCGGCCAGCCCGCGGAGGCGCAGGCCCTAGAGACCCCAGTCCTGGCTGGCACACCGCTGACACATCACAGCGCCCGGCGGTGGGGACGGCAGGGAGGAGCTGCCCCCAGCCTGCCTGCTGGGGTTGGGGGAGGGGAAGGGCGAGGAGGCCAGAGCGCTTCTTTCCTGCACCTCCCAGTGCTCCCGTTCGTCATGTGTTGCTTCCACAACTACAGTCGACACACTGAAGCCCGATGGACCCTGTAGCTGGGACCCTGTCCCCTCCCTCTTAAATCTACACGATGTCATTGTCAACAATAATCTGAGCAGCTTGTCCAACGGCCCAAACTAGAAACAGTCCATCAACAGAACAGCAAAGGTCAGGGATGTGGGCGGCTGGTGGAGTACTACACAGCAAGGAAAAGGGACACGCTGCATGTGGAGGGAAGGAAGCCAGACTCCCGAAGCAACGTGCTGCCTGGTCACTTCACTTTACGTAGGCTCGAAAACAGGCCAAACTGGGAACCAGCAGTTAGCGTAATGGCTATGTCACTGGACTCCCACGTAGTCGACCGCGGTTCACATCCTGGACCCGGAGGCTTAAAACTCATGCCGGGCGCATGTGCGCGTGTGCCCAAGATCCCGAGAGGAAAATGGAGGAGAGGGGATTGCGGCGTGACCATCCCCCTGGGGGGTGATTTCTCGCTTTCTGTCTCTATGTCTCTCTCTGTCTGTCTGGCGAGCGCACGCGCCCTATAGTGAAAATCTCTCCAAAAAAAAAAAAGAAAAGAAAAAAGAAAACAGGCCAAACTAATTGGTGGTGGAAATAGTGCAGGGAGGGGTTGACCGGGAAGGGCCGTGAGAAGGCCCTGGGGATGTTCTGTACCTTGGTATGGCTGGTGACTCTGTCTTGATCTGTTTGCCGTGAAACTCACTGAAGTATACACAAGATTTGTCACTTTGCTCACTTGTCAATTATACCTCAATTAAAAAGAACTCAGGGCCAGCAGCTGGCATGGTGGTTAAGGCACTGGACACTCCCACATGGCTAACCACAGTTCGAGTCCTGGACCTGGCAGCTTGCTTTCACTCTCCTGCCCCCGTGTCTCTCTCTGGTCAAATCAAATGAATGAATAAGTAAAATTAAACTTGACCAGAGAGAGAGACACACACATGAGAGAGGGAAAGTGTGAAAGTAAGACACCAGGTCCAGGACTTGAACCGTGGTCAGCCATGTGGGAGTGTCCAGCACCTTAACCACCACACCACCTGCTGGCTGCTGGCTCCAAAATAAATAATTCTAAAAAAAACAAAAACAAAAAACCACTAACAGAATTTAAGGACAGGGTGCTATGGGGGACAGAGCGAGCAGGGGGTTTCTTTCAGCCACATCAAAAAGATTTTGTTTCCGAGATTGGGTTGTGGGTTCAAGGGTGTGGAGACAGTATTCTGTGTGTCTGAAACAATACAGAATCAAAATCTCTACAAATCCAAAAAATAAAAAGAGAGGAAAAGAGTGACCACAGTCCCTGACTATGGATGGCAGACGCCCCGAAGTCTGAGGGAATAGACGCTATGTGTGGGAGGGAACGAGGCAGCAGGAGCCACGGCGGTCCGTGATGAAGACGCGGGTGGGGTGGGGGCACCACCAAAGGAGAGCCAGAGCGACAGCGGGGTGGGACGAGAACCTGAGGCAGGCAGCACAGATCTCCTGACGGAGGTCACAGTGGGCCATGTGGGTCCCCCTCCCCTCCCTGGGCTCCAGGGGCCGCTAGCGACTCACCAGACAGCTGAAGTGCGGCCCGTCGAGCCTGCAGGGGGACAGACACAGTGGCATGTCAGGGCTTCCTTGGCCACCTGAACCTCAGTGCTTGGGGCTGGTGGGGAGGTGGCAGCTGTGACCGCAGCGCTGCCTGCTCTGGGAGTCCGTGAGACCAGCCCCACCATGGTTACCCCGCTCCCCCAGCAGGACAGGCAGCGGGGGAGGGGTGGAGGGGCG